GATAAGAGTTGTACAAGTCCCCAATAAAAAGATTTTAAAAAGAAGAAAGAAAATATTATGCTAAGTGAAAGAAGCCAGACACAAAAGGCCACTAATTGAATTGTAGGATTCCAATGATATGAAATGTCCAGAAAATAGAAATTCGCCGAGACGGAGAGGAGAAAAGTGTCTGCCAGGGACTCGAGAGCAGTGGGGCTCTTCTAAAATGAGACAGGGTGGAATGTGCACAACTGTGAATTAACTAATACCCCCTGAATTGTATACTTTTAAAGGATGAATTGACGGTCTGTGAGTTGGGTCCAATAAATATAACAAAGAACAGCAGAACACTGTCTGACTAGGAATCAAAGGAAGCATTGCACTGGGCCAATCTGCTGCAAAAAGCAAGAGACCAGGTGGATGGCGATGGTAACACCTCCTATGTATGTGGAAGCTGGAGAGTGAATAAGGAAGAGTGGAGACATGGTGCCTTGAATGACAGTGTCGGCGAAGAAAATTGGAAATAACATAGATTTCCAGAAGAACAAACAAATCTGGGAAAAGTACAGCCTTGTCCTTGCTTAGGAGCCTGGTACACATGCTTTGGACATGTTATCAGGAGAGACCAGTCTCTGCTGAAGGACATCATGCCTGGGAGAGAGGCATGGAGACAGCGAAAGACCCTCAATGGGAGGGCTTCACACAGTCTGCAAGCATGGACTGAAACCAAGCGATACATGTGAGACGGGTGCAGGGCTAAACAGTGTCTCATGATCAGAATCAACGTGACAGCACCAACAACAGCCGTGGACTTTTAAAAGAAGTGACTGTCCAATAGGATTTTTCAGTAGATGGTAAATCCTCATGATGAGGACAGGGTTTGTGTTCTATATTAGATTGTAACTGCCCTCGTTGGCCTGGGATTTAGGGATTTAGAAGCTTCCTGCAACAGGAGGCTTCCAGTGCTAATGACAGGCAAGTCCCAGGCAAACCGTGCAATGCTGGTGACATCATTTTATTTTTAAAATCGTTACGTATTCATCTGAAGTTCAAATTTCTCTAGACATACTGTATTTTTATTTGCTCCATGTGGCTCGTCTCTATTTAGAAGATGATCCGTGCCTCAGGTAACGTTGGGCAGGGCAGGAGAGAAACAGAAGTAACAGAGGAAGCAAGCAGGGCCCAAAGGGGTGTGAAGTGACGGGAAATCGCTTCCAGAGCATCTTCTAAGCTTAACCCAAGGAAGGACCAAAGAGGCCTGCGAGCCCTTCTCTCACCACACGCTGGCTCAGCATCTCAGCCCTGAGACACTGGAGGAATCTGGAACAAGCGTGAATATGAATGAACACATACAAACACTCTGTATCGTGTAAAGGTCTTTCATCTTTGGGCGAAGCTTACCTTAAGCTTCGTGCTGGCAGAGGAGCCCATGCTGTATTGTTTCATAAATCGGTTTTTAATCCATGAGGGAGGGGAGCTGTTAAAAACAGCAGCAGGCCTAGCAGAGGAGAGAAGCAGGGGCGTTTCCTTACCGATGGATGAGAAGTGGCCTCAGAACTGAACTGCTTCCAGGGAGGATGTGCAAACTGTGACCAGGTCTCCAGGCTGTGGCTTGTAACTGGGGGAAGGCATGGCATGTGTCACCGAGGCCGAGCGAGGAACGGAGCTCGAATGCAAGCCTCTTGGGATGACATGCAGAGAAGAGAGTCTCGTGGAACCACGGTACTTTAAGAACCTTTGATGTTTCACTGCTTGGACACCACGTGCTTTCAATTCCCTCTACCAAGGGAATTGTTGGATCACCTGTGGCAACGTGTCACCTTTTTAGGAACTGCCAATCTGTGTTCCAAAAGGCTGCACCGTTTTATGTTTCCATTGGCAGAGTGTAAGTGTGAATTTAGGAAAATGGGAAGTGGTCAGAAATGAAATGGCACGCATCAATACAGATATCCTAATGGTAAGCTGAAATGGACTGAGATTGGCCACTTTGAATTAGAAAATCGGACGTGTCAGAAGTGACACAATCAACAGGATTGGAGCTGCATTCCTATGCAGAAGGGATCACCCTAACTCCCTCACGAAGTTCAGTGCTATCTGTGATGGGATTATCTCTATGCACCTTCCAGGAAATCCACCACTGCAGCTAAGGTGTAGTTATCCCTCTGTTGACAGCAGCCAATCAATTGCAAGGGAATTTCTTCAGCTGTTACTCCCAGGTTGGATCCTACATCTGGTTGTCTCCAAACCTCCAGTTCTTTGGACCTTGACTGCTGTTCCTGGGACTCTCTAGCAGCCACTTTACTCATCAACCTTGCTTTGAATCACCTCAGCGATCAGAATCTTGCTGTCGGACCTACCTGCTGATTTTGGCACCAAGTGAGTAATTTCCATCCCTGTATCTCTTCCAAGATGTCTCACAGTCGGTTCGCAATTTGCCTGTCCAAAACAAACGTCTGCTTTCTTTCAAAAATCTGTTTCTCTGCCTGGATTGCCTATCCCAATAAACTGCCTCCCACTCACCAAAAACTTTGAGGTCATCAAAAAGTTCTCTCTCTCTCTCTCTCTTTCTCTCTCTTTCCAATAAATCTCGATGTTGGCCCAATCACACCACCTCCACCACTAGCCTGTCCAAGCCAGCACCATCTCTCCCCAAATCACCTCCTTGCCTCCGAACTGTCCTCCTGGCTTCTTCTACTTCAGTGCCTGAGAGTCTGGATAGCACATGCAGCCACAGTTAACCTTTTGCAACATAAAGTTTATCTCCCTCACATTTCCCTACCCATCACATTAGGACTAAAATTAGAAGGCCGCACATCAGCCAGGAGTTCTGTAGAACCTGCCCCATCCATTGATGACTCAATCCTGTCTGACCACCCTGGCTTCTGCCTGTTCCACATCTTTGCTGATGTTTCCACCTGGCACGGTCTTCCCCAGAGAGTCTGCTTCCGTGCTACATGCCAAGCCATCTTTTCTGATCCCCTCCCTGCTCTCCACTCTTCTTTTCCTTGATGTGTTCTTCTTCGTAGCACTTAAAACTACCCAGCATATTACAGTGTCTGCTTATTGGTTTGTTGCCAGTCGCCAGTGATGCTGTAAGCTCTGAGAGCTAGGCTTACTCTCTGTTGTCTGTCCCGGTATCATCAGTGCCTAACACCTCAATAAATTCTTATTTAATAAAGGAGTGGAACAAGACTAAGAAAAAGAACTCAAGGATGGCTCCTCACTGGTGGTTTTCAGGCTGCAGGTGCGATCTGATTGATTAGGACACTGGGAGAGAGGGAAAAAGCTACGGGCTCCACTCCTTTCCTCTCGCTTGTGTTTTATGGTGGTTGCTTAAAGATAGGGTTTCCCCTCTTTCATTCCAAGAAATGCTCATTTCCATTCTGGGCCTTCTCCTTGCACACATATAAAAATTCGTATTCTACATTCCAAGCCATCGAAAATTATGCATTCACAATTACCAAGTCCCAAACTCAGCTTTACTTGTTGATGGTAAAACCAAGCTAGTGAGATGAGGCATTGGGAAGCCTTCCTGTTGCAAAATTATAGTCACGGTGTTCTCCCGGAGCAAAGCTGCTGCCTCTCTGAAAATGCAGCGCCTTCCAGGAATGACATGAAACTCTTCCAGGGCCCCCTGGGTCTCTGGGGTCCAGGGAAGGGGAGATTGATGTTGTCTCACATTGGAGATCACTTACTTTCAACCTCTAACTGTGGATTTGGGAGAATCTTCTTAGTGGCTCTCTTCCTGTGACTTAAAGTAAAGCAATCTCTTAAAGTACTCACTCTTCTCATGCCGAGCATATTATGCTGTCGATCTTTTCCCCATAAATGGTCCCGATATCGGTGGGCACTGACGTTCATCAGCGGTACACTGATGAAATTACAGGACCCCTGGAGGTACAACACTTAGACACTTGGCTGCTAACTGAAAGGCTGGCAGTTCAAACCTACCCAGGGGCTCCATGGAAGAAAGATCTGATCATCTGCTTCCATCAAGATTTTTGTTCATGGATTTTCTTGGCGGGGAATTGACCATGGTGGCAGGAATCCGGTGAAGCCTGTGTGTGTGTAACCTTAGAGATCTTCACTTGCTGATAGGCAGGACTCTAGCTCCGGAGAAACGCCTGCAAATGTCTTGTGATGATTGGAAGTTGGAGTGTGGGAAGTGTGAATTTAGGAAAATTAAGAATGGACAGAAATGGAATGGAACACATAAACATAGATGCCCTGGGCATTCGCGAGCTGAAATGGGCTGGTATTGACCATTTTGAATTGGAAAATCATATGACGGACCATGTCGGAAGTGACGGGATCTAGAGGAATGGAGTAGCATTCCTATTCAGGAAGGATCCCCCTAACCCCTTCATGAAGTACAGTCCTATCTGTGATGGTATTACCTCTATCCGCCTCCCAGGAAACCCACTTCCATAGCTAAGGTGTAGATATCCCTCTGTTATCAGCAGCCAACCAATTGCAAGGGAGTTTCTTCAGCTGATTCTCCAGGGCTGCATCCCACATCTGGATTGGATGTGAGCCATTGGCCTCCTGTTGCCTGCTGTTCCTGGGACTCTAGCAGCCTGCTGTTGGACACGTCAGCCGTGGTTTGGATCTCCTCAGCCATCGGAATCTTGCTGCCTGACCTGCTGGCCCATCTTGGAATAAGGACCTTCAGTAAATTAGTTAACCCACCAAAGTGAGTTGGACTGAGCTTTCTGTACTGTTGTTTGGACTAATTTGCTGTTCTGTTCCTTTTTGTTATATAAACTTACCCTGTTCTGTTTATATTATCATAAATGTCATGGTTTTGCTGGTCTAGAGAACCCTGCCTAATACAGGAGCCCACTTGATTTCGACATTTCATTGCGGATGGAGGAGAATCTTTTTCGTGACTTTCTACCTGTCCTTAAAGTAAAGAAATCCTTAGAATTTTCTCCTTTCATTCCGAGTATATTGTGCTGTCAGCTGTTTCCCTATAAATGGTCCCACAACAGTGGGCACTGGCTTTCATCAGTGGTCCACTGGAATGAAAGGACCCCTGGCCGTACAACACAGCACTTGGCTGCTAACTGAATGGTTGGCAGTTCCAACCCACCCGTTGGCTCCACTGGAAGAAAGATCTGAGGATCTGCTTCCATCAAGATCGTTGCTAGTGGTTTTCTTGAAGGGGAATCCACCAGGGTGACTTGAGTCAGGTGAAGCCTGCCTGAGTGGAGTTTTCTGGGTCTTCATTTGCATACAGGATACGGCAGGACTCAAGATGAGAAACAGATACAAAAAGTTTCTCATGATTGGAACTTTGAATGTGGGGAGTGTGAATGTAGGAAAATTAGGAATGGTCAAAAATGAAGAGGAATACAGATTAGGCGGGAACCCCCCATCCACCAAAAAGAACTTTTTTGAAAGCGATGTATTTAAATGTTTTTACATACCTTATCACTTTCAAAGTACTCTCCATTGCCCTTAATGCATTTGTCTGACCTGCAATTCCTTTTTTTTTTTTTTTTTTTTGGGGCTCTTACAGCTATTATAACAATCTATACATCAATTGTATCAAGCACGCTTATAATATGTTGCCATCATTTCCAAAAATTTTCTTCCTACTTGACCCCTTGGTACCAGCTCCTCTTTTTTCCCCTCCCTCACGTTCACCTCACGAACCCTTGATAATTTATAAATTATTTTTATATTCATATCTCCCTTCACCCACATTTCTATTGTTTGTCCCTGGAGGGATGGGTTATATATCGATTATTAGGATCAGTTACCCCTTCTGCCCCCACCTTCCCCCTACCCTCATGGTATTGCTACTTCCATTACTGTTCCAGAGGGGGTTATCTGTCCTGGATTCTGTTTGCCCAGAGCTCTAATTTGTGCCAGTGCACATGCTCTGGTCTAGCCAG